CCCCACTGCCCCGTGTCCCTCAGCACCACATCTCCATGGCTTGGAAACCCCTCCAGGGGTGGGGACTCCACCACTGCCCTGGGCAACCCTTTTGAGAAAGAAATTGTTCCTTAGGTCTAACCTAAACCTCCCTTGGTGCAAATTGAGGCTGATTCCTCTTGTCCCGTTGCTTGTTTTTTGGAGAAGAGCCCAACCCAAGTATTCCCAAGTATTTGAGAGCCAGAAGGTCTCCCCTGAGCCTCCTTTGCTCCAGGCTCAGCACCCCCAGCTCCCTCAGCTGCTCCTCCCCACACTTGGGCTCTAGACCCTTCCCCAGCAGCTCCGTTGCCCTTCTCTGGCCACGCTCCAGCTCCTCAAGCTCCTTCTGGGAGGGAGGGGCCCAAAACTGAACCCAGGATTTGAGGGGCAGCCTCCCCAGTGCCTAGTCCAGGGAGACATTCCCTGTTCTGGTCCTGCTGGCCACACTAGTGCTGATCCAGGCCAAGATGCTGGTGGCCTTCTTGGCCACCTGGGCACACACTGGCTCATATTCAGCCAGCTGTCAAACAACCCCACCCCAGGTCCCTTTCTGTTGGGCACTTTCCTGTCACTCTTCCCCCAGCCTGGAGCATTTCAGGGTGTTGTTGGGACTCAAGGGCAGGACCCAGCTCTTGGCCTTGTTAAACATCATAAGAACCTCACTGTGTAAACCCTGAGTTCTGAAGTGCTGTGTTGAGCAGAAGTTGCTGAGAGGCTTAGAGAAGCATCAGTATTCTCAGCCTTCTGTTCATTCCCACGTAGGCACACTATCTGGAGTTAGATCTACCATGGGGAAAAGTTACAAAAGCAAATCTGCAGAGATGAATTACAGCTTTGAGATGCCAGGAGAGTTGCTTATCATCATGTTCCTTCTTCATTCCTCTTTTAAAAATCAAATATTTTACAGTGCAGAGGAGCAGGGCTGTAACTGTAGCAAGAAGGCAGGTTTTCTGTTAGGAAGGCATGATGCACACATGTTATGGCATGTAGTAGAGACCATGCTGCCTGCCTAGCAGTTGTATTGTCTAGGGCTCCGTGGCATAAAAGCTGCAGAAACATGTGGCTGGACCCTGCCTATGGGAATTCCAGATTTTGAGCAACGTGGCAGTGCCTGGCAGGAGACAGCAAAGTATGGAGAAGTCTTTGGTGAATGGTCCCACCTCCTTTAAAACCCAGCTGACAAAGGCAGCACCGTTCCCCTCTTTCCTACTCTTTATTTCCGTGTGTGTTCTTAGTTGTTCAATGTGTGATTTCTTTGTGTTGAACTGCATACTTGTAAAGAAAACTGTATTTAGAGTTCTTTACATGCTGAGGGTAGAAGCATCTACCTGCCAAGGAAATACCTGCAAATTACTGCATGGAAGAGCTCAGCAGGCTAATCTATTAAGTTACTTTTTACGTTGAACCTTTCTTTGTGGATTAGAAAACAGTGGAAGCAGGGGAAATAAAGCAAAATTCTTCTTCAAGAAGTGTCTTGATAAACAAACTTCCCCATCTTAGTACAGAAATCTGTTCCTCACACATAGCTGATGATGCTTTGTTTGCCAGCTCCAGTGACAAGTGCTTCTAATTGCTCTTCATTCATTGTTACTCCTAGCTTCAGGGATGGTCGAGGAAGGGCAAGTTCTGGTGTATGTTCTTTCAGAAGACTTGACTGGGTGAGCCTGTTGTATGAATGAAACTCATGACAACACACTGCTGAAGGCAAAATTGCCTGGTACTACTGTGGTGCAAGGAAACCAGGTTAAATATCAGTGCCCAGAGCTGTTTGTAGACATGGCAAGTAGGAAAAAGTAGCTTAGTTTGAATTTGGCAGCTGAGCATTCTCTTCACTCCAGGAAACTTCTAAGCAGGGAGTGAGGAGGCACTTGGCCCAATACTCTGACTTCCTTTTCATAACATTTAGGACAGTTGTGACTAAATCTGTGGGGATACACAGGAAGGGACTCTGTGTTGAGTTGGAAATAAACTGCAGAATATTTATTATCTCCTGTAAATCAAGCCACAGAGCACAGAGCCCTGAGAGGTTTGTCATGTCTGGCTTTTTGTTTTCATTTCAGCTCATTCAGACCAACAAATTGAAACATTACCCCAGCATCCATGGAGACTTCAGCAATGACTTCAAGCAGCCATGTGTGGTGTTCACTGGACATCCCTCACTTAGGTTTGGGGATGTGGTTCATTTCATGGAGTTATGGGGGAAATCTAGCTTGAACACTGTTATATTCACAGGTAAGTCACAGGCAGATATATAATTATCAAATTAACAGTGGGTTGTGCACTCTGGTTAAGTGTGGCCACATCCTAAGGGCTTTACTCATTTGTTCTGGAGCAGAAGCCTCTGACTTCATTAGGAGCTTGTCTAAATTAAGATCCTAGAACTGACTGTAAGGACAGATGTAATTATTGTGCCGTTTAATTCATTTCAGCCCTGCAGAGCCAACCTTTGCCATGCAGAGTCCATTCCTGCCATTTCTGAGCAAATCTTTGTTAGGCACAGCAGAGAAATGCCTACAGGAAATTAATATTTGAGTTCAAAGCAGCTGGCTGGAAGCTAAAGCCAGGCAAGAGCTAATTGATGCTGGTCAGGAAGGAGAAACGCTTCTTCTCCGTGTTCCACTGGAGCCACAAACCTTTCCTCATCCCTTCTCCTGCTCTCTCATCAAAACCTCAGGCAAGCAGGCTGTTTCTCAAGACATTCCTGTCATCTCTGCTGTTCCAGAAGTGTGCAGCCCATACAGAGCTGGCAGTAGTGATCTATGACCCTTGCTGCCTTTTGGCTGAGTGGGGTTTTTGCAGACGTTTTTGGGCTGACAGACACATTTGTAGCTGAAGCTGAAGGTGCAGCTCTAGCTAATACCCAGGGGAGCTGTTTCCTTCACAGTGACTCAGGCTGCCAGGGGCACAACAGGTCTTTTAAGTTCCTCCACTTGTCCCAGTCTGCTTCTAGTGCTGACCCTGCTTTTAATGGATTTAATGAAGCAAACCCTATCCTCTTACAATGAGCCCTGGTTTGAGATCCCCCAGGGCAGCTGTGTCCTGTGCCCACACCAATCATCAACAGCAAGACAGTATTAAAGAGAGAACATGAATCTTTCATGAAATCTAGTGAAAGAAATAACTTGCAGAGTTTGATTTGCTTTAAAAATATTTCAATGCCTTCCCTCAAACTGACATTCTGTCCAGGTTCCTCCTCTTCATACCCAATGTGTCATCCAACCAGAACCCTACAGTGGCCACTCTTCAGATCTGAAAAGGGAAATAATCCTTCAGGCCATTGTACTGATTCTGTGTATAATGAGCTCTGGTATAACTGGGAGATGTGTTATATATAACTTAGCCAGATAAAAAAGGTGTGGCTTTTGGACTAGGGCAAAGTAATTAGAAATGGGGAGGAGAACACCAAGTAGCTGATCCCACCTGCTCCCCCAGCAAGGGTGTGATGGAGTCATAGAATCATAGCATCACTATGGTTGGAAAGGACCTCTAGGATCATCAAATCCAACCTTCCTTCCCACATCCCCCTAAATGTCCCACTGTTAAGCTTATTTTCCTCCTCTTTAGAGAACAGAACTGCTGGAAGGCACATAATCTCCTAAAGGAAAGCTCGTTGGGTTATTTCCTTCCTTCTTTGTTTTTTTAACTTTAGGCTTGTGTTGAGCAAGGCCCTTTGACTCTTTCACAACACCAAAAAGCATCACAGCATCCTGATACTCTTAAACCAATTTGTAAAGATTTAAAGAAGTGTGTAATTAGCCCTGCTGCAAGGGGAGGGAAGACACCAGGGGGTTCCTTCTGCTGAGCAGATGAGACACTTAAACCTAGACTGTGTTTGTGCTGAGAAATGGTGCATGGTTCCACAACGTCATAGCTGCTACAGGACCCATCTCTGCTGCCCTCTGAGGTCATTTCTGGAGATATTCCCCAATTACAGTAACTGGTAAAATTCAATATAGATATGCATTGCCTTGGATATAGAGAATTCTACTCCAGTTGTGACCTCAGTTAAAACTGAGTGTGTCCAGCCTTTACTGGGGTGTGTATTTAATGAATCCCTAAGAAATCAGGGGTGTTAATCCTGTTCTGAATGTGGTACCATCAGAGAGGGTGTCAGAAACTGGCCTTTAATGGCAAGAACTCTTCTTCTTCTTGTAAGGAGAGGTAATTGCCCTTTCTGCCTTAAAATGTAATCCTTCTGTGACATGAGGAAGGAGAGCAGACTTCTGCTAGAGCATGGCCCTGCCAGGTTGTTCAGGCATCTGAATAGCAGTCCTAACAACCTGTGGATACATTAGCTCATGATCTTTGAGATTCAGTCCCAGTTTGTACTTCAGATGAAGCTCCAGGTGAGATCTGCTTTGGTTGTGATGACCTTGGAGTGCACAGTGATTCCAGGGGCTTGTGGTGGTTTGTTTCCTAAATTCCCCTGCCTGTGGCTTTTGGACTCTCTAAGTGGATTGACTCATCAGGACCTTCCTACCTCATTATGACTGTCTCAGCTGGAACAAGACATCTTTGTCCTCAGGTATTCCAGGCAGGTTAAATCTTTCTGTTCTTAGTAAATCCAGTGGAAATGTGAAGCACCTCCGGTGATGCGTGGGATTTTAATTAGTTAATTATTTAGCTCCTGTTTTAAGGTACAGTGCCCTGTACTTAGGAAAGAAATTTGATTCCTTGAAGCAGTATGTGATAGCAGATGATGTTCTAGCTTTTCCTGGGAAAGGCTCCCTGTTTCTAGTAATTAGGACCTTTAAACTGCAGGCCATGCAGTGTTGTTAATGATGGTCAAGAGGAGCTAGGGAGCCTCCACCTTTCCAATCTGCAATGTCCAAAACAACTGAGAGAATATAGACTAACCCAGCCCCTGCAGGCAAAAGACCAGACACCAGCTGGGAGGGAGCTGTGCTGGCTTTGTCACCTGCAAATGTTACCTCTGAAGCAGTATTGAATAGATTATTGATTAAAAATATTGAATACCACTGAGCCACAAAGAGATTCTAGAAGAAGTCGCAGTAAAAATGAGTCTGCTCTCTCTCCAGTGACAATGCTTTAAAAACTAACTCCTCAAACCAGCTCTGCCTGCACCATTAGTGCTGCACAGTGGGAAATGTTATAACTCGGTGTCACACAGTAGCAAGTCAGATGTCTTGGAGAAAAAGCTAAAGACCTGCAGCTCTGTCAGAAGAAGCCAAGATGTGTCCTTGACAAGTGCTGTCTCCCATCAGACAGGTGACTTCAGGTTGTGTGGTGATCTCAGAAGAGCTATTTCTGTATGGCACATGAGTTCTCTCTGAGACTAGCTCACATTATGTTTCTCACATGTTCTAAATCTTCAAAGTCCTGTGCCAGAGAATCCCTTCGTTAGAATATCTTGCTTTTCCAAGGCTCTTACATTCTTGTTAGTTGTTCAGAGGGACTGGAAATTGGATGCCATTTGGGATTCTTTGATCAAAAAATCCACGTCTGTACATTATCTGAGCCTACTGACTCAGGAAAAGAAATAGATGCTGCCTCCTGGCATTCTCAGGTACAAGCAGTCAAATCTCTGTCATCCCCAACACCAGATGGGATGGGAAAACTCTCATCTGATAACTTTTTAAACTTGCTATTTGCCATTTCATTGTACATCCCCAGCAGAGGACCTGTGCCCATCTTCAGTTTTTTGGTTTTCCTCAACAAGTTCTGAAATACCTTCTGATTGACCACTGGTCACTCTTCAGCTAGCCACCTTCTCAGTATTCTTATTTTTAAACCTCTCTTTGTTGCTGCTTAATTTAACCACCATTCACTTCCATTTTTTACATGGCTATTTTTAGGCTTTGTTTCCTTGCCACCAACACATCTGCTTTTAACTAGCGTGGCTTTTTGCCCAGGATCATTTTTGCTTCCTGTTTGTAAATTCATGGCTTTGGGGGCATCTAGTGAGATGTTCCTGCACAACTCATTTTTTGTTAATATTTCTCACTTTGATGTTCCCAGGCAGTTATTCTGACAATTGCTTTAAACTTGGGAAAATTATCCCTTTGAGAGTTCCAAACATATGTATCGTTGGCTGACGCTGGATTCTATTTGCACAGGGTAAATATAACCACATCATGATCACTGATACTTAGCCAGCAGCAGATTTTTAGGCTAGCAATTAGCTTGTCTTTATCAGAAGAATGAGGCCCAAGATGGAATGTCAGATGCTGTGCTGGATGCTGAACTTCCTGTGGTGAAGTTTGAAGGACATTTTTTCTCGCTGTCTATAGGAGAGATCCAGCCAGTGCTCTCCTCAGGGTGATGTAAGAAGGTGGCTGTCTAAATCTAGACTGAAGTCTCTGTATTTGAGATTCCTTTAAGTCACCCTTTTACACAGCCTGGGCAGATAGTAGAGAAATGCCTCATGCTGTGTTCTGGCAAGGCTTGGTGGCTCAGGGCTGTGCTGCACTCGGCAGGTTGTCCTTTGAGGCCCTGTGGTGCAGAACAGTCCAGCAGATAAGTCTTCCATGCATCTCTTTCTCTTTTCCTCAGTCTGTACTTACCAAAATCATATCAATTTTTCCTTTTTAGCATTCCACTTCTGCAATCTATCCCACAATTATCAGGTAGATAGTGATGGCTTAAGCTTTTCTGTGTCATTAGCTGGTGACTCCCAGAATCAAGTGGCTACATGTATCATAGAATTGTTTTGGTTAGAAGAGACCTTTCAGATCATCAAGTCCAACTGTTCCCCAGCACTGCCAGGTCCCCACTGACCCATGTCCCTCACACCACATCTCCACAGCTTGGAAACCCCTCCAGGGATGGGGACTCCCCCACTGCCCGGGGCAGCCTGGCACAGCCCTGGAAGAACTGACTCATCCTACACTGTGTCACCTCTGAGGCCTACATTTTTTATTCACAAAAAAAATAAGATTTTCCTATAGTATTCTTAAGGTTGTACTGCTCTTTTTGTGAGTAAAAGCCCATTCAGTGCAGGAGTTTTCCCTGGCAAACCTCTAATCTGATTTTTAAAAGTCAATAATAAGAGCACAAAGGGAAGTTAAGACTTGCTAGGTCTAATAAAGATACCAACTAATGAAGTTAACACAGCCTGTCTCTCCTGTATGGCCCCTACCACAAGCAACCCTCAGTTCATACTGAACTAGAACTGCTCTGCTGGCATAACTAGAATCCCCAGTTGCCTCTCCCTTCAACTGGAGGGATCCCTGCAGGTCCTCTTGGTTTGTATTGACATGTGGACCCTTGAGCCTGGCACTTCAATTTGAAAATAAATGTATATAGTACAAGGAAAAAGAGAAGTCAGGAGGTAGCCTCTCTGCAGCAGAGGACATTGATGCATGTCTATCAGGATAGGATCTTCATGCTGCATTTTTGTCAGAGTGAAAAACAAGGTGACATTTGGGTTACTTTATGATAGCAAAAAAAATGTAGCCCTCTCTTACAGGATCTGATTAAAAATAAGAGGTGATAGTTTTGTCTTGATTGAATTTGTTACAAAAATCATGCAATAATGTGTTCAAATGAAATAGTATGCTCTGTTGATTAAGGTAAGACTAATTGTGGGCATAATTTTCATCAGATTAACTGAAAATAACAGGTGGGGGAAGAAAGGAAGAGAAATCTATAAGAGAATTAACATTGCTGAAGAACAGCTTGACTAGACTGGGTTCAGGGAGGTATTGGGCCATCTTTGCTCTGAACAGGCATTCAGTGTTTTCAATATTTCTCTTTTCAGAACCTGATTTCTCTTATCTGGATGCCCTGGCTCCTTATCAACCCTTGGCAATGAAATGTGTTTACTGTCCCATTGACACAAGACTGAATTTTATTCAAGTGTCCAAATTACTCAAAGAAGTCCAGGTAATGAATTTTCCCTTGCCTCTTCTTCTGTTTCCTCATGCACCTGAAATAATGCTTTAAAAACTGACTCCTGCTCCAAAATGAATGTGGCATGACTGCCAGTCTGTGCACAGCCTGGCTAGAAGTTGCCTAAAAGCTTTGAGTGCAGACCAAATGGCATGTTCATGCCTTTCCTCTTTTTTACCTATATATAATTACAATAAATGAGCCAGCATATGCTCAGGGGCCAGGAAGACCAACAACATCCTGGCTTGTGTCAGCAATGGTGTGCCCAGCAGGAGCAGGGCAGGGATTGTCCCCCTGCACTCAGCACTGGGGAGGCTGCACCTCAAATCCTGGGGTCAGTTTTGGGCCCCTCCCTCCCAGCAGGACCTTGAGGGGCTGGAGCGTGGCCAGAGAAGGGCAACAGAGCTGCTGGGGAAGGGTCTAGAGGCCAAGTGGGGGGAGGAGCAGCTGAGGGAGCTGGGGGCGCTGAGCCTGGAGCAAAGGAGGCTCAGGGGAGACCTTCTGGCTCTCAATGGCTCCCTGCGAGGAGGTTGGAGCCAGATCAGTCTCTTCTCCCAAGGAACAAGCAATAATACAAGAGGAAACAGCCTCTAGTTGCAACAAGGGAGGTTTAGGTTGGCCCTGAGGAACAATTTCTTGCCCTTGAGGGCTGCCCAGGGCTGTGCCAGGCTGCCCAGGGCAGTGGTGGAGTCCCCACCCCTGGAGGGGTTCCCAAGCCATGGAGATGTGGGGTGAGGGACACGGGGCAGTGGGGACCTGGCAGTGCTGGGGAACAGCTGGACTTGATGATCTTGGATGTCTCTTCCAACTAAAACTATTCTATGATTCTATGAGAATAGCTTTTTTTCCATTACTCTTTTTCTTGTTTGTCTGCTCAAGCCTGGCTGATCCTAACACAGCCTTAATACCAAGTGCTGAGTATCCTCAATGCTCTCAGCTTTAACCATCTCTGCTCTTTATCCAGCACTTGATACTTGCTTGGGTCCTTGTGCTGGTGTTCCCAAGTTTCACTCTCACCTTTCTTCCAAATCCACTGCTTTCCTGACTCGGTGTGCAAAATCCAGAATTCTCCTCTGCAGGAGGAAGGCCAGAGTGTTCATGTAATCTCTGCTTTCCCCCTTGACTCTTTTTAGCTTTAGTGGCCTCTCATTGTCCATCCAATTTGATTCTACTGAAATTTGCTTTCTGAACCATGATATAATTAAAATTATACCCATTTTTTTTTTCCTGGCTGAGCTTTTCTCTCTATTCTATCTTCAACTTGTCGAACACAAGATTACATATTCTTCTAAACCTCTTTATAATGTCTAGATCATTTTATTTCATTGTTCTGTGACCTGGCTCATCACTACACAACTGATAACAATTACTGCTCTCCTTCAGACAAGCATCTTCTCTCTGTCCAGTTCAAGGAGCTACTGGAGAGAGTCCAGCAGAGGCTGGGAAGCTGCTGAGGGGCTGGAGCATCTCTGTGCCAGGCCAGGCTGAGAGCCCTGGGGCTGCTGAGCTGGAGAAGAGAAGCCTCAGAGGGGATCTGAGCAGTGCTGAGCAAGAGCTAAAGGGCCCCGGGGGGCAAGAGGCTGGGGCCAGACTCTGCTCAGTGGTGCCCAGGGACAGGACAAGGGGCAACGGGCACCAACTGGAACCCAGGAGGTGCCACCTGAGCAGGAGGAGAAACTTCTCTGCTGGGAGGGTGGCAGAGCCTGGCCCAGGCTGCCCAGAGAGGCTGGGGAGGCTCCTGCTCTGGAGAGATCCCAAACCCTCCTGGCTGAGCCCCTGGGCACCCTGCTGGGGGTGAGCTGCTGGAGCAGGGGGGGGATGAGATGATCCCCAGAGGTCCCTTCCAACCCCACCATGCTGGGATTCAGTGATCCCACTTTACTTCTGATGTATAATGCTGTTTCCAAAGCAGTCTGTAGGAACACTGGCTCACCCATTAGCTTCCTTAAATCCTGTGGTGATTCTTCAGGCAACCAGCCTGCTCGTGCTATGTTAATGTATTGCTTACAAGTCATGAAAGCTCAGCATTGATTATTGTGGGAACGTTTGTGCAGCCTTACATATTGACATCTCTGCCTCACCCCGTGCCATTTTGTGATGGTCTCCACCACTGCTGTCATTTGCTTCCAATTTGGAAGGAAAAACTATTGAATAGTCTTCTTTTTTTTTCCCCTTATGGCAGCTGACGTGGGTGCTGACATTGCAGTGGTGATTAAAGACACAAATTTAGGCCTTGTTGCTCTGTTGTATGCATAGCAAAGGCTGCCTGATCCTGGAACAGTCTATTCCAGTAAGGACTGGATCTTCTGGACTGCCTCTTTTGGGTGTTGTCTTCACACAAAGAAACGAGCTCTCTAACAACAACCTGCAAACCTTAGGGCAGCGCTGGCGGCTGCGGGGCAGCGCACAGAGCCCACCGACCCTTTTCTGTGAGTCCCTGCACTCTTCTCTTCCAGCCCCTGCACGTGGTGTGCCCGGAGCAGTACACGCAGCCCCCTCCCAGCCAGGCCCACCGCACAGACCTGATGGTGGACTGCCAGCCCCCTCCCATGGCCTACCACAGGGCAGAGGTCCTCACCCTGCCCTACAAGCGCCGCTACGAGAAGATCGAAATCATGCCAGAGGTAAGAGAAGGGTGGGGGGGATTGGTGGCTGGCTGCTCCTGCAGCCAAATCCCAGCTCTTGCTTTGGTGCCTGTTTCACCAGAGGCATCTCGTTGCTGTGAGGTGCTGTTGGCTGTGATGCTGTAAAGCACTTTCTAGCAAATGGAGGGCCAAGGGTGAAGCGTTTCTGAGAGGGAATTTCAATGTGTGACCTCATTGGGCTGACAGTCAGCTGGAGATGAGGCAGCGGGTGCCCAGAGCCTGGCTTGGGTCAGCACTGGTGTGGCCAGCAGGAGCAGGGCAGGGATTGTCCCCCTGCACTCAGCACTGGGGAGGCTGCACCTCAAATCCTGGAGTCAGTTTTGGACCCCTCCTTCCAAGAACGACCTTGAGGGGCTGGAGCGTGGCCAGAGAAGGGCAACGGAGCTGAGGAAAGGTCTCTCCTGAGCCAAAGGACCTGAGAGTGCTGAGCCTGGAGCAGAGGAGGCTCAGGAGAGACCTTCTGGCTCTGCACAGCTCCTGACAGGAGCCGGGAGCCAGGGGGGGGTCGGGCTCTGCTCCCAAGGAACAAGTGACAGGACAAGAGGAAAGGGCCTCTAATTGCAACAAGGGAGGTTTAGGTTGTCCCTGAGGAACAATTTCTTGCCCTGGAGGGTTGCCCAGGGCTGTGCCAGGCTGCCCAGGGCAGTGGTGGAGTCCCCACCCCTGGAGGGGTTCCCAGGCCATGGGGCTGTGGTGCTGAGGGACGTGGGGCAGTGGGGACCTGGCAGGGCTGGGGGATGGTTGGACTCTGTGATCTTTAAAGGTCTTTTCCAACCAAAACAATTCTACGATTCTTTTAAAAAAACATTGTGGGCAAAGAAAAACATGTTCAGGTTAATTGTCCTTTGCCAGGATATATCACCTCTCAAAACAGGGAACAAAAGGCAATCTCTGCTGGCCACCTGTGGGGCAAGCCAGTTGAAGTATGAGTAAATTAAGGCATTGCAGTTTGAATTAGTGGCCCAGAGCCATGGAAGGGATCTGAAGAGTCTGGGAGTTAGTAGCCAGGGGTTGTCTTTCTGCTTCCCCAGCTCTGCCTGCCATGAGAATTACCCTTGCCCTTGAGGAGCAATGTTCAGTCTGATGATAAAGGCATCGTAATGAAATGGCTCATTTGTATTACAACAGTTTCAAGAATTAGTTAAGTCCTACCAACTGCTGATGTCCAACAGGTTAATGGGTTGCTTGTAGCCATCTATAATGTGCATTACTTATTCCTGCAACATCTATTAATAATTTATTAACCCCATAAATCAAGTATAAATGTACCCATAATACGAACGGTGAGCGAGGTTCTAACAGAGGTGATCTTCAAATATTTTTTTGGACAATCCAATCAGCTCAAGTGTGTCTTTGGATCAAAGGTGGCAGCAGCTTTTTACAAGCAGGCCTTATTGCCCTTTGGAAACTTTTGAATATGTTACTCTACTTTTCCTTGGAGAGCAGAGGGAGGAAGTTCCCTTAGTTAAGGCAAACATGGAGGGCAGAGCTGGTAGCCACATACAAAATCCCTTGGCCAACCCACTACACCCATTCCTACCATTTTATATGTGTCTGCTTTGTGCATGAATTCTGTCAGGAGCCTGCCCAGCCACCATTAGAGACTGCCAGAGACACTGAGGGGTTTTTTAATTAGAAAACAGACTTGGATGCAACTCCTTCATGGCATGTATATTTAATTGGTTTGGAAATTTGCATGTTTATTGGATCCTATTAAACCTAAGACTAATAAAACGTGGCTCCAGTTCAGCAGCATGACCAAAACAATTCTTGCATCCTGAGTGCAGAGAGCCAGCACGTGCCTACCCTCGTATTTTGACTCCACTGAAGCTTTGTGTTTTCCCCTAAAACTGGGAGGGTGTTTGTGAGCCTCTGCATCTGAGCTGTCCCTTGTGGCAGCCCTGGGAGGAGGGCAGACACCAGCTTCCCTGCAAGCAGGATGCAAATTACCACAGAGGTGACATGAATATTCACCAACCCTCAGACATTTCGAAGTTCCTGTCAAGGGAGAGGGTTCTCTCAAAGCCTGGCTGGTCCCTGGGAGTCTCAGGCACAGTTTCTTCCTCTGTCGGGGTCTCTGCATGATCAGCCCAAGTCTAAAGCCCAACAAGCAGCTGACATTGGGAAGGAGGCTGCAGGCTGTGAGTTCCCTGGCTGAGCTTGTCAGTGCCATGCTCATGGGGCTCACCACATCAGAAAACCAGCCAGGGTTTCTCTTGTTAGCCTGGCTGTTGGCAGCAAGATCCCTGACACCTGAGGCTCCAGAGGCCGTGTGGATTCGGTCACACTGGCAGCCACTGATGTGAAAATGCTCTCCAGTTCTCAAACCTGGATCTCCAGTGGGTTTTAGGTGCTGCCTGTCACTGGAGGGAATGAATTCTTCCTTTACCTCTAGGTAAAAAGAATGCTTTGAAACCAAAGCACTTCCCAAAACTGCTGGGATGTTGGAGGGAGGATGCACTGTAAACAATTTGATATTCACCAACCTGGGAATGGGTATCAAGGAAACACATTGAAAAAGAGAACTGGTTTCTACTGTGTTCACTCTAACTTGGAGAATTTGAGCAGAAAGCTGCACAGACAGGAATATTGGCAGAATGACCCTTCTTTTCCCTCTAACAAATAATGCCAAATTATTTTCACACAGGAGTCCTAATTTCAAAGCTATCTGTACTCAGGGAGCAGAAACATCTCATGATTTTCCACATCCAGGTCTTCTCCCTGTTTCCAAAGCCACACTTACCAACCCATTGCAAAAAGCTACTTGGTATGTAATGATACTCCTGAAAAGACTTTTTAATAGGATACAAAAATTAAGTAGACCAGATCATCACCTCTGAGATTTTCAGGGAATCTGTTCTCCTTCCCCATTGGTGTCAATCAGGTCGTGTTTGCTTGTCTCAGGGAGTTCTTTGGGCATGGGACCCATTAGAGGTTGTGTGCCTGCCTCTGGCTCAGGCCTGTCAAGAGGATGCCATTCCCCAGCACTGAGCCAAGTCATCCTCAGAAAGATCTTGCTCATTCTTTGTAAGGGAACTTGCTAGAGGAGTAGCAATGCCAGCTTCATAGTGATGCCAGGCTGTCTCCCCAGGGTGATCTCTAGTTCAGCATGGCTTCAGCACGTCACCCTGTGAGGCTCGTGTCTGCTTCCAGCTTGCACTGCAGTGTGGTGATAAGGCATGGGAGGGATGGCACATTCTCCCCACCCTCTCTGACTTTGAGCCTTAGCAGCACAGCTGATAGCTGCTGAGAAGTGTAACTGTGTAATCTCTCCTACTCTGGGTCACCAGCCACAACAAAGGATCATTGTTTGGTTTTCAACTGAACAGGAGGAGGAAGAGATTTTGTCTGGGGCTTGTATTTCCTTCAATGATAACCCCTTAAATAATCTCCTTACCTCCCTAATACTTTCATGTGGCATCTGCATGGCTTGCTTCATCCCCTCTCCCAGCAGGAGAGCCCTGTCTGTCTGTCCCATTGTGCAGAGAGGTCATTAGGATGCTGGGTTGGAGATGCTGATTCTGGTGGCCTCTTGGTGTCAGGCAGGGTTTTCACAGGAGTGGGCAAAAATGCCTGTAACTTCCCTGTCTGATGAGTGAGTAGTGCAAGACAGGATTGAAGATGTCATAGATGAGGCTCCCTGGTGGGGAATATCTGCAGCTTCATGTCACCTTCTCTGTACTTTCATCCAGGAAGACTTTAATGGTGCCTGAATATACAGGAACTTCTATACTGCAAGGAAGGGGCATTTGTTTCATATGGGCTACCACCAGCTCTGGGGTTCTGTGTAGGCTGAAGTGGCCATCAGGAAGGGTATTTTATAGCTCCTAGAAAACTTTACAAATGCTTATTAGTTGTCAAAACTGTGTTAGCCAAAAATGGAATGATAAAATCCACTCTGGGAAAAAAAGGAGCTGCCAGATCTGCTCCAGGGGTAGGACTTGTGTCTGAAGTACAGCTAAAAGTCTGGTAAAAGAAGGTCTACTCCAGTGAAGTCCTGATTAGGGCCCTCTCCTAAGATCCAGAGCCCCTTCTCAGAAATAGCCACGTGCTCCAACTTCTGTCTGGATTCCTGAAGCTTTTGAAAACCAAGGAGTGGGCTCAGCATGGTTTCAGTCAGTACAGACTGGCAGTAGGGCAGCTGAGATCTCGTTGCCAAAACTGGCTCCGTGGCTCAGACTCTGCCCTTTCAGCCTGATGTGAACGTATTTATAGTGCTGGAGCTTGTCTGCATGTCAATCACTTCAGTGAAGAGCACGTCAGGTCAGGCAGGACTGCTGTATGTTAATGAGATTTACACTCAGAGCAGCTTTCAGCAGTCCCAAGGCCCCAGGCTGGGATGGCTCTCAGAGGTGTTGTGGAAACCTTGACACTTCAACTAATTTGTTCTTCTCAGCCTCTGCCTTTCACTTTAAAAAATAATAATAAAAAAAAAAGGACTGCTTCCTGGAAATTGGTTAGGCATTGTCTGTTCACAGGAGAACGATGGGAAAATGGAAAACACCTTCTGGAGCAAACAGATAAATTAAACAGTGGTGTCTGAGCAAATAATGTGCCTGTGGTTTAATTACAGCTGAACAATGGTGCGGATCGCTTGCCTTCGGAGCAGACTGACTTCAGAGAGGGCTCTGTGGTTTTAAAATACTCTATTTGCAAGTTCTTCAGGACACAGGCCAGTAGAGGAGAGTGTGAATATGCAACACAGCCCAAGATGAAGTGAAATTATAAGGAGCTGTTGCAAAGAATGAGGAGAACAGCTACTTGGCAGCCCATTATAATTGCGTAGCTCTCACTCCACCCTCCTCTTCTCCTGTCTTCACTTCTCTCTCCACATAGGATGTTGCCAATTCCTTTTTGAGAGAAAGACAAAATGTGGCTTTTGTCTTACCTCTCCAACTTCCTGCCATGTTTCAGGGGCTGAAGGGTTTTAATTTCTGTCTTTCTTCTAACACTCAACTTATTTTGGTGACCCCACATTA